ATCAGAGAGATGAGGGGCAGGGGAGGGAGGAAGGAAGGGAGTCAGAGAAGACAGTCAAAGAAAAGAGGGACCAAGAGAGAGGAATAAAGGGATAGAACGAGAAAGGAGAGAGAGAAAGAGAGACAGAGACAGAGATTAAGCAAGATCTCAGAGGGTCCTGATTCCATAAAGGCATATCCAAGCCCATGTACCTCCAAGCTCACTGCCCTCCTCCCAACCCAGGAGGATCCGGGATGGATATGCATCAGGAGAGACCAGAGCTTCCCCCAAACTCTTCCGCATCTCACTGTGTGGGTCTGGATGCTCAGCTGTGCAAGTGGAGACAGTGGGATTCCACATGTCAGAACACATGCAGCATGGAGACCGTTTGTGTGAGTTGTGAGGTTCCGTGCAAGTGCAAAGGGAGACTTTTATCATTCCACAGAGTGGGTTCCTAACACACAGCAAACCTCCACAAAGGGAGGTGTAGGTGAGATTAGCATTTTGTATTTCAGCACACAAGATACAGTCATGTCGAGGGCCTTTTCCACGGGACTCTTGGGGCTTTTACCCAAGACAGCCTCTCTAACATTTAGTCATTTTGACTCCTGCTCAAGGAAGGCTATCTCCCCCTTGGATATGGAAACACAACAACACCCTCCCCCAAAGTCAGTTTCCATTGAGACGGAGCAGCTTCCCCCGAGAGAATGTTACTCACTGGGTTAGAGTTTATACTGGGATTTTCCATGCTCTGGACCCGGCTAGGAAGACTCTTAGAAGGATATGGGTCTGGTTTACTCAAGTTTTTCCAATGCTACGCATTCTGCTGCTGTTTCGGGGGCTCACACTGAGGCTGTAGACCACCCGCACAGTGCCCCCGTGAGCAAAGGTGCGGTACTGCAGCCACCTTCCATGGCCGTTCAGGGCCTGTGGGTTGAAATCCTGATTTTGGCTCTGTCTGCTTAATGTCCCAACAGTTTTCTGACTTGGCCATCTCTAAAATGGTATATGAGAGTAATGTCTACTTCATAAGCTTCTGGCTAGAGTTAAGGGAGAGAATGTACGCTAGCAGAGGAGCTGGAGAGATGGATCAGCAGGAAGAGCCCTTTCTGCTGTTCATGAGGACCCAGGCTCAGTTCCCAGCATCCGCAGCAGGACTCAATCTTTATAACTCCAGTTCCAAGAGACCCAACTACCCCTGGACGCCTTGGGCACCTGCAGCCACATGTTGTACATAAACTCACACCTTTAGACATAAATAAAAATCAAATTTATAAAAAGCATTTCCTGGCAGCTGGGAAGGTGGCTCAGTGGGTAACGTACTGGCTGTGCACGGAGAGTTCAGATTTCCAGCATCCATGGAAAAAGCGTAGCATGGAGACACGTGTCTACACTTCAGTGCTGGGGACCACAGACAGGCAGATCTTGGGGGCTGGCTGGCCAGTCCGGCAAAATTGGAGAGCTCTAGGTTGAGTGAGAAACTCTGTCTCAGAAAGACAGACAGAAAACAAGAGGAAGATAACGAACCTCTGACCTTTAACACAGTGGCAAAGGCTATTGCATCTGCATACACACAAGCACACAGATCACACATATATGTACATACATACATACATGCGCGCGCGCACACACACACACACACACACACACACACACACTATGTTCGTACTTCCAACTACTGACTTAATTTATAGCTATTGCGTTTCCCTTCCCCACACTAATTGTTTCAAATAAATAATAAGCAAACAAATAAATAACTGCCTGTGGTCATAGGGAAGGTTATAATGCTAATTTCTAAGTAATTTTATCCAAACTCCAAGCTTGTTCAAGTGATGGCTCTTGGGGCCTGGGAGTGGGAAGGGGGGGCTCCACATGCCTTGAGGCTGGTTTCCATGCCCTACACTAGAGATTGTGGGCTCTGTCCTACTTGTAAGTCACAGTCATTGTTCACATGCTCTTCCAATCCTTGACTATGAGTAATTCCGTGCTTAATCAAGGCCAGCACCTAACCCAAGGCCTCATTGAATGTATGACATTTAAAAAATGGCAACCATTGTACTATTTCCCCTCACTCTGTGGCCGAAGCATGTCGTTGGTTCTAAAGGTATTGCTGTGGGAATATCTCTGAGAGGAAAGGACCAGGAAGGAGGAACGACACTTGCCAAAGATGGAGTTGCTCTTCTTGGGAAAGGACGTGAGAGGCTTCTTTTTTTCTCATTGATTGGTCTCTGGGCTGACTTAGCAGATTCAGCTGAGGTGCTGTAGCACACTGGGAGATTCCCACAGACAATCATGCAACAGATATCCTGGGCCACCGGACACCTGACCTTTCAAATATTAAGCTTGAGGCCGGGAGTGGAGGCACACACCTTTAATCCCAGCATTGAGGGGGCTGTGACAGGTGGATGTCTGTGAATTCAAAGTCAGTCTGGTCTACACAGTGTGTTCTGGGCCAGCCAGGGCTACACAAGCATGCAAGGGAAAGATCTTCCTGATGGTGGTTGTCAGCATTGGTGATACCTAAGAGAGACACTCCACAGAAACCTGCGGAATGAGCAGATGAATGGGCCCTCAGGTCTCAGTCTCTGCTGAAGAAGAAGTGGCGCTGGCTAGAACCTGACCTCCCTCAGAGTTGGAACGAAAAACAGCTGCCCCTGACCCCTCCCCAGCATTGCACAGGAGCCGAGGGCTCTGCCTGAACATCATTCCATAGCAACTGTGGGCCACAACATCTCACTCCCCCCCCGCCCCCGCCCCAGTCTTCAAACACAGTCCAAAAGATAAACTTCAGGGCTCAGTTTATACAGGAAAAATTTGAGGTTCAGACTCAAGACTGATCAAGACACAGGAACCCAAATAAGTGAAGACGGGAAGAACTGTTCTCTTCTCGGTTATCTCAGAGGGCTTTCAGGCATGTTAGGTTTGGGGGAAGGACTGTAAGCATCTCAGAGCCCCCCTGAGAATTCTGGGAAAGTGGTCGAGAGAGAGGCAAGGTCTGCTGAATCAGCAAAGTAGGTACTAAGCCCAAATGTGACATAAAATTATCTACTGTTAGAGCCACAAAGTCCACCTCACTGTTCTGTCTCTCTCTCTCTCTCTCTCTCTCTCTCTCTCTCTCTCTCTCTCTCACACACACACACACACACACACACACACACACACACACAGAGAGAGAGAGAGAGAGAGAGAGAGAGAGAGAGAGAGAGAGATAACACTTAGAAAACTTTAGAAAAATTTTTCTAACTAGATTTTTGCTGATGCTGACTCTCCTCTATTCTCAAAACTCCTCAAAGGTTCCTTGGGTCCACAGGATGAACTCTGTTCCACAACTGAACAGGCGGCGGCTATTTATCTGCTTATATGATTAAGAGAACCCAGAGGGTACCCCTAGATCTTTCTTGAAAATCGCCTTGGCCATGGCTGAGATTACTCCAGCCTACTTGGAAGGAGTGGCCCTCGTGTTAGCTACCGCTGGCACTGGGCTCAGAAAGCAAGTCCTTTCATGGAGTCAGCTGTCCACAGGCATCCAGGGACACTGGTCACACAGAGGCAAGAAAACGTGACAGCTGTTGCAAACAGCAGCCCATGGGGAGCGGCCAAGGGTTCTCTGGGGCAGACACTTGTCAGCAGTTGAAGCAGCCCATTATCCAGTTACACAAAACACCCGCCAGATCCGTGGCACCACTTGTAGCAAATTCAAGACAGACTGCCACATTGCCAAGACAGACTGCCACATTGCCTGACACCGACCTTAGACTCCGAGATCAACTTTGTTAACCACCTACATGTACATGCACTGCGTGGAAAAGGGAAGAAATGAACCCACAGCCTCCCCAAGTCCAAGGACCAACTTCAAAGAGAGCCTCAGAGGCCAATCCCGGTATTTCGCCACTGCCCGTGCACTGCTTTCTCCTTCTGGGCACAGTCTTTCAGAAGAGAAGAGTTTGAGAAAGGGGGTGGGGTCTCCGAGCTACTGAGCCTACATCAGGCCTGCATGCATTTTTCCAGAAGACTCCGTCCAAAGGCATTTGAAAACACTTTCATATATACATCGCTTCCAAAACATTACACAGTATTTCTCCAACAAATTTATGTGTTTCTAGGGAGCACAGGGGGAAAAGCGCTTAGGTGCAGAATGTCTGGAGAGTCTTTTATGCCAACAGTCTAGCAGGCCTCCTTTAATTTGCTATTATTTCACATAGCGCCAGTAACCGTTCCCTCCTCTGCAAAGGAAATATATAGCCCAGCTGTGGCGGCTCCAGTGAAAACCACATCTGGGGAACACTGGCAGAACTGGCAAGGCCTCTCCGATCTCGGCAGCGTCAGACAGCTCTTGTCTGAACCCGAGATGCACATGGTTCGGTGCTCTGAAAGTGCAGAACTTTGCCAAAACCGGATGCTCCTTTGTATGCCTAACCGATGGGATTTAGATAATCCACACCCATGAGAAGGAGACTCTCCTGAAACATTACCCCCAAGATCCAGCTGTAAAATGTCCCTGCCCTCTCCAGGGTGGTGGCCTGTGCCAGAACCCTTGCTAACGTCAAATGGGGGGAAGTAAAGGCGGCACTCTTGGTTTCTGAGAGAGGTTGTACCACGCAGCTGGCTGGCTGGGTAGCTGGCAAGGCAAAGGAAGATAGCCACCGTGGGGTTACCATCCTCTCTCTTCTCCGGAGTTGGAAGCCAACGTACTTCTGGGCACTGGGTGATAATATTCCAGGAGTCCCCCGCAACACACACATGCACTCCCCCGCTCTGTTTAGTCTATCCCTGAAGCGCGGCAGCAAGCATCTTATTTCTAAGCCAATTTTCCATGTTCAAATCTTCCTGGTCCCAAGTGCGCCCCAGGGGCTTAGTCTACAGACATATAAAGGCAAAAGACAGCGTCGTCAAGCCTGGACAGACTTTCACCCCAGTACAGGGCCTGCGGCTACCAGGCTGGCATGTTGCTGGCCCTGAGCCCACTGGTCCCCGTCCACGCCAGACAATAGAGCAAGAAAATGAAATGAAAAGTGGACTTACTGCTATGGCTTGCAGCCTCTCCTTGTGCAATTCCGCCTCTGCCATCCTGGAGAAGGGCACACGGGCAGGGGAAGAAGGAAGAAAAACAAAACACACGCTGTAGTCACACAAGGAGATGGAAGGGCACTCGTGGGGGGCTCAACGACCCCGGGGACAGCCGAAGGGTGTGTGGGGTCCGCTCCTGGGGGCGCGGGCAAAGCTGTGCGCACGGCTAGCTCAGAGCTCAGCCTCGGTCTCCGCCGGCGCCGCCGCCTGGCTGCGCCCCAGCGCCGCCGCGAACTGCAAGATCCAGGTCTCTACCGCCACCGCCACCACCGGCCGCGCCAGGCGGGGACGTGGGCCGCCTGCAGCCTCCGGGTGAGCGCGCTCTGCCGCGCTAGGTCCCCGCCCTGACGTCTCCGCGCCTCGCTCCGCCCCTGGGGTGTGGGGGACTCGTGGCCGCCGCTGTCGCTCGCGAGTGGGGGCACCTGGAGTGATGGTGATAAGCTAGCTGGGGGGCTGGGTGGGGGGGCGCACAACTGGTGCGCTTCGGTGGCCAAGCGCGTTGCGCTCGGAGGGCTAGACAAGACCAGGCGGCGCCTCTGCTCTGAGCAGAGATGCCAGCGGCTGAATGCGGGACCCCAGCACGTGTCCTTACATGCAGACTGCGGCCACCCAGTATCCCCAGCGCCTTCTAACTGGTTCCAGATGCTTGGGCTCCACGTGGGGGCACTTCCAACAGATAAAAGCTGTCTTGTCCCTGAGCTTCAGAGGGCAGGGCCCTCAAGGGCAGGGTTTATCACCAGATAGGCCACCCTTCTAGTGACACACCAACTGAAGACAACTCAGAATTTGAAGCCCTGGGTGCCTTCCTGGACAACTAAGTCACTCTGAGTCTCAGTTTCCTTATCTGAAAAAAAAAAAACAGTAAAGGATTGCAAATGATGTCACAGAGACGTCCTTAACGGACGTGGTAGAAGCCTGAGAAGAAGGCTCAGTGGGTAAAGCACTTAAGGCTGAAGGCCTGAGTTCGTATTCCCAGCGCCCACATAAAAGTCACGTGGTCATGGCTGCACCCGCAATTCAAGGGATGCCTAAGAGCAGCCGCTCAGGCACAGAACACTACTCTGATGTCGGGGATGTGATGACAGTCCGAAGCACAGGCCCCAATAATAAGCTTGCTAAGAAGAAATGGCCCTGTTCTATTTAGCTATGTATTTGAAAAGATACCAAAAATGATTGATTGGTGATGGCAGTTAGGGATATAGCTCAGTTGTTGAGTGCTCGCCTAGGCTGTACTGAGTTAGTCCTGGGTTGGATGCTTGGGAATGAGGGGGAGGAATGAAGGAGCCAAAGAAGGTGAATGTACTTAAAGTCACCAAAATGTATATTTAAAAAATGGTAAAACAGCAGATTATATTCTGTGTATACTTAACACCAATTAATTTTCACAAAAAGAAAGGGATGGAAGGGGAGATGAGAAAGGCAAAGGGCCTAGGCGACTCTTTGGAAGCCATCATTTGTAAAGACCTGAACGTTAAAGCCGAATAATTAGGGTTGGGCCCCAGTGTCCAGTGCAATGGCCATGTTAGTCACAGCTAACGAGCTGAGAGAACCAGGGTGGGAACTCAAACTGGGGGAAAGTCAGAGAAGGACACAGATGACATAGAAGATCTGAAGAGCAGAAGACTGGGGAGGTTTACACCAAAAGTCACAACCGGAGGACAGGAAATTCATCAGGGTCACGTGCTTCCGGGAGGGTCAGGAGAAAGTAGGCTAAGGAGGAGCCGCAGACTTCAGGAGTGAGGAGCTATGGGTGACGATGGGGAGCAGCTATGCTCAGAGGGCAAGTCAGAAAGTGCTGGGGGGGGGGCAAGAGACATGAGAGGTGGGAAAGACTCTGAGTAGAATTCCACTTTCCAGCTCTTAGGAAGTTCAGAAGGCACAGGAAGGGAATCAATAGTGAGAAGGATTTCTAGATCAAGAAAGATTTGAATACTTGGGAATCAAAGGGACTATTTGATGTGATAGATGTTAGCACAGAGGAAAATACACGTTGGGCAGGGTGGACTCAGGTTGGGTCAGAGGGCATTTTTGTTAGCATCCCTCACCAGTTCCTCCTTAGAAAGAAGAAAGACTGCCGCAGGGAATGAAGGGGGAAATTGGGGAAAAACAGCAAGAAATTTTGAGTTAGAATTTCTATAGAGAAGTTGGGGAGCTTCACCTTCATTGGCCTGGTTTTCCCTGCAGAAGGGAGTAGTTGAGACTCCTGGGATTGGAGGGAAAACTTGAAATGGTTTATAAAGGAGCTATGGGAAGTGGGGGACACTAAAACATGGATCCTGGGACTGGATGGCTCGGTGGTTAGGAACACTGGTAGCTTTTCCAGAGGGTGCAGGTCCAATTCCCAGCACCCACATGCAGCTCACAGTTGTCCAGGGCTTCGGTCCTAGGGAATCTGATGCCCTCTTCTGGCCTCCGTGAGCACTGCACACATGTGGTGTCCAGACACACATGCAGACAAATATAAATAATTCTTTTTAAAAAACATTGGATCTTAGGCAGATATCTGCATTAGAATTTTATGAACACATGTACAGAATTAAATTTCTATATGATACAATGGGAATTGCAGATGGGCTTAGAATCATTTTATTAATGGGATTCACAGGACCAAAAACTTAATTGTGTGTATTTCCTCAGTGCTTTTAAACACCTGAGACCTACTAAGCCATGATTATGCTTGCCCAGATCTGAGGACTGCCAAAGAAAATGTGGAAAAAAGTCAAAGGAGAGAGGAAATTTAGGGTGCCTGAAACTGGGTTTAGCCCAGTTAGGAAATGTAGGAGACAGATTATTTTTAGCTCCCCAACTGGTGAACCCTTTCCCATCTTTGGGGGGTTCCCACATTTAAACCGTATGAGAAGCAGAGCCATATACCATCACAAAAGTGGGTAAATGCCAGACACCTGCTTCCCCAGATCTCCCGGAAGCTATGCATGGCTTTCAATCTGGGCTTAGCCAAACACAGGTACCTGCCAAGAAGTTTGAAGTTCAACTTAGGTCTTGCCCATGACCCAAGCCTCTTCCACAGATTCCTCAACTATTCCACAAACTACCAAATGCAATGTAAGTGCCTTCCTTTTATCCCTTTGTCAACCAGAACTTCTTTCAGTTGTTTGTAACTAAGGACCCCTAGTGAAACAGGAAGACACGGAATGAATGGCTGAGGTTCAGCCAAGAAGCAGACGGAGAGTTTTTCTCTTCCAACTCTGTTTCCTTCCAATCTAAATTCTAGCATTTAGAACCCACTGAACCTATCATAAACATCGATATTTATAACCCAAAGTGTGTCTGTTTTTTTAGACAGCATCTCATGTGGCCCAGGCTAGCCTCAAACTCACTGTGTAGCTCTGCACGGCCTTGAATTACTTCTCCTTTTGCTTCTATCTCTCTGCTGCTGGGATTACAGGCACACACCACCATGCCTGGTGTAGGGGCTGTTAGAGATCCACCATAGGGACTTGTGCATGCTCAGCCAACACTCTACCAATTAAACTACAGCCCCAGCTGATGTGGGAGTCCCCCCCTCTATGTGCTGTGATTAACATTAATGAACAAAGAAAACTGCCTTGGTCTGTTGATAGGGCAGAACTTAGGTAGGTGGGGCGGACTAGACTGAATGCTGGGAGAAAGAAGAGCAGAGTCAGAGAGGAGCCAGAGTAAGACAAGCTGCTGAAACTTAGCCGGTAAGCCACTGCCACATGGCGATACACAGATTAATAGAAATAGGGTTAAACTAAGAATAAGAAGTTAGAGCTAATGGGCCAAGCAGTGTTTTAATTAATATAGTTTCTGTGTGATTATTTCCGTTCTGGGCGGCTGGGATGACCCTCTTCCTCCTGTTACACCCAACATACATCAACTTTGTAGCTATTGGAGACGAGATAGGAAATGATGGCCTGATATTACAAGAGTTTGACAGCCTAGTGCCACAGCTGTATTGGCTACTGTCTTCCGTCCAAACATTTAAAAGTCCGCATGATATTTCATAGTAGTGTATAATCCGCGTCACAAAGTGCTGGCTCTTGCCGGGACATTAAGTTGTACTGTGTAAGTGTCTTCCAGGTGCTGGGATGATGTCTTTGATAGATGCAACACTGTAAAGCCCCACACAGACTGAATACAGAGTGGTTGATATGCAAAATAGATGTTTTGATGATAGAAATTTCAGGAATCTATTTTAGGACCAGAGTCCCTCGGGAACTGCAAATGAACACAGACTAGTCTCCCTGCGGGGAGACAGGAGCTCAGCTCAGTGAGCCAAGAGCGACATGGCTTTCCAAAGCCCATCCTTGAAGGGGAGTCAAAGTCTTGTTGAGGAGGAGCTAAGAGTGTGACATTTATTTGCAACTGGAAGCTTTTGCTACCCAAAAGTGATTTGAAAGGCCTGTCAGCATCTCCTGAAACATTTGTCTTGGCTCTCTTTTGCATGAGATCATTTAAGAAGATTCGGTCATGTAAAGCATATGTGATAAGTAGGATCTAAAGGAAAAAAAGGAAAAGAAAGCAGAAGGGAGGCTATAGGGGATGTAGAGGGGGAAGGGAGAATAAGGGAGAATGAGAATAGAAAGGATGTGGGGTGTACGATGAAAGTGTTATATAAATAAATGCATGGGAATGCCATTATTAAGCATCTTTGTATAATTAGTATACATTAACGTTTTTGCTGGGGTTTTTTTTGTATTTTTGTTTTTTGAGACAAGGTTTCTCTGTGTAACAGCCCTGGCTGTTACAGTACTGGAACTCACTCTGTAGACCAGACTGGCCTCGACCATACAGAGATCCGCCTGCCTCTGACTCCTAAATGCTGAGGTTAAACGTGTGCACCACCACTGCCCAGCATATTATTTTTTTAAAAGTACACGATTGTTACCCAAAATCCAAAGGAGGAAAACAGTGTTTGTTTGGTGTCCCCTTGGCTCCTGTGGTTATCAGCACTTTGGAAAAGCTGTAAGGCCTTCAAGGATATACTGTTTTTCTCGGTGGATAAAAAACGATAGGAAC